GAATTAAAGGCCCATAGAGATCAATAGGCCTTGTAAGGGACTTTCTCTCTTTCTTAGTAAAAAACCAGAGCCATTAAAAGAATAATTGAGTTCCCTTGCCCTCTCTGCTATCTCAATATATTATAGGAAAGATTAAGAATGCAACCAGATCTGGCCCCAATCATTTAAAATATAATACTTATCTTCTTAGATTAATTTAATTTGCAAAGAAAATCATTTACAAGTCAATCTATATTCCCCCATCCACTTATTCTCTCTAGAAACCATTTATTGTCTGCCCTTAAACAGAATTACCTATATTCCTCATCTCCCTCACCCCTCTACAATGAGGGTATATAGACTCCTGGATCCCACTGAGATATCAGGTAATCACTCTGTGATTCTCCCTGTGTGCACCATAAATAAACCATTCTCTTATTAGTATGCCTCATTGTGAATTGATCCTTCAGTAAACCTTCTGAGGCAAAGGGGAAATTTTCCCTCACCCCCGTAATATGAAGCATTCTTTCACATTTATTTGTTGTCTGCATTTCTTTTTCTGTGAATAGCCTACTGCACTGTCTTTACAGCTGTTTTTAGCTATCGAATTTTTTTTTTTTTTTTTACTCCTCTCCTCCAGCTATCAAATTTTAACACCAACTACTGGGGTGAAATTCCCTTCCAGACTGTTAGTTTGACTTTTACTATATCTTTTGTCCTAAAAAGATGAGTTCATACTAGCAAAGTGGGCAAAATAGTGCCTGACACATGGTAAGTGCTATGTAAATGTTTTTAAAATAAATTATGATAAACAAAAATTTTTAATTATAAAGTTACACACATTTACAAATTATATTACAAATTTAGTGACATGCTTCTCTGTTAGTAAATCACTTTTTTTTTTTGAGACAGAGTCTCGCTTGTTGCCCAGGCTAGAGTGAGTGCCGTGGCGTCAGCCTAGCTCACAGCAACCTCAAACTCCTGGGCTCATGCAATTCTCCTGCCTCAGCCTCCCGAGTAGCTGGGACTACAGGCATGTGCCACCATGCCCAGCTAATTTTTTCTATATATATTAGTTGGCCAATTAATTTCTTTCTATTTATGGTAGAGACGGGGGTCTCACTCTTGCTCAGGGTGGTTTTGAACTCCTGACCTTGAGCAATCCGCCCGCCTCGGCCTCCCAGAGTGCTAGGATTACAGGCGTGAGCCACTGCGCCCGGCCTAACATAGACGATTTTAATGACCAATAATGAATTTAAAAATACTTGTCAGCATACCATATTGATAAATTTTAAATAATATCACAGCCCATTTTGTGGTCAATCCAAAGTCTCAAAGTCCTTCTAGTAAGTATAAGATCTATTCTTACCTTTCTGTGTTCTCCACAGGCTTTCTCTCAATCCTGTATGTCCTCAAGGTTTAGTCCTAAATCTATCTCTTCTCTCTCGAAACATCTTATTCACTTAGATCTTCATCTCTAATTTCCATAAGAATGAGACTACACAATTTTACTTTGCTTCTGAACTCTACTCCCTTATTTCTGTGTGTTGGATTTCACATGATATTTCCAGATCCTAGCACAGTGCCTGTCACTTGAGATTCCGAATGTATGTTCATCCACAAGTGTTATTGTGGGGGAAAAGTTCCACTGGCAAACAACTTAAATATGATAACAGTTAAACATGTTTATTTATTGCAGAACTACTCAAAAGTTTTAATATGTAAAATGAACACAACATCTCCACTCACAGGAGGTATCTAGAGTAGTCAGTTCACCGAGTAGTAGTAGAATGTTGGTTGTGAGCGCTGGGGGGAAAGGGGAACTTGAGAGTTACTGTTTAATGAGCAAAGAGTTCCAGTTTGGCAAGATGAAAAGAGTTCTGGAGATGGATAGTAGTGATGGTTGCGCTAAAATATGAATGTAATTAAGAACCGTACACTTAAAAATGGTTAAGATAGTAAATTTTATGTGTATTTTACAAAAAAAAAACAACCCTCTTTTTAAATTCTATTTCTTAATTTCAAGTAGAATCCCATCTCCAGACAAAATTTTTTTTTTTTTTTTTTTGAGACCGAGTCTCACTTTGTTGCCCAGGCTAGAGTGAGTGCTGTGGCGTCAGCCTAGCTCACAGCAACCTCAATTTCCTGGACTCAAGTAATCCTTCTGCCTCAGCCTCCCGAGTACCTAGGACTACAGGCATGCGCCACCATGCCCACCTAATTTTTTCTACATATAATAGTTGGCCAATTCATTTCTTTCTATTTATAGTAGAGACAGGGTCTCGCTCTTGCTCAGGCTGGTTTCGAACTCCTGACCTCTAGCAATCCGCCCGCCTCGGCCTCCCAGAGTGCTAGGATTACAGGCGTGAGCTACCACGCTTGGCCTAGACAAAAATTTTTTTAAAGGATACAAAATCAATGTTTCCTGAACTTATTTCTCATGGTGCATCCGATGGGACTCTTCCTTGGAATATACTTTTGTGTCACAGGTTATATTCCTAGAGGGCAAGAACTGTGGTTGGTATTTTTTTTTTATAATCCCACAGTACTTAGTTTGTTCTCTAGTTTCAAAGTGATCTTTACAGCAAAAGCAGGAATTTTATTTTGACTGTTAACCTTTGGTTTAAGTCAAGGTTTTTGCAACCTCAGTACCATGGACATTTGGACTCGATAATTCTTTGTCATGGGGGAATGGGGAATAGATCTGTGCACTGTAGTATATTTAGCAGTGTCCCTAGCCTCTACCCAGTAGATGCCAGTAGCACCCCTCCCACTCTTTCAAAGTTGTGATCATCAACAATGTCTCCAGGCTGGACATGGTGGCTCACGCCTGCAATCCTAGCACTTTCGGAGGCTGAGCCAGGAGGATCACTTGACACCAGGAGTTTGAGACCAGCCTGAGCAAAAGCAAGATCCCATCTCTACAAAAAAATAGAAAAAGTAGCTGGGTGTAGAGGCACTGTGCCTGCAGTCTCAGCTAGTCAGGAGGCTGAGGCAGGAGGATCACTTTAGCCCAGGAGTTTGAGGTTACAGTGAGCTATGAGGACACTGCTGCACTCTAGCTTGGGTGACAGTGTAAGACATTGCCTAAAGAAAAAAAAAAAGTCTCCAGACATTACCAATATCCTTCAGGGAATAAAATCACCCCCAATAGAGAGCCACTTGTCTAGGTCATGTTACTTTAAATTGGTACCCACATAAAACATAACCACAAAACCTCTTTTAGTTCAAATTAGTAAACACAGAGCATCAACCTGTGCAGTTCAACAGCCACAAGCCATATATCAGTAGTCTGAATTGATTCTTTTTTTTTTCTGAGACACAGTTTCACTCTGTTGCCTGGGCTAGAGTGCTGTGGCGTCAGCCTAGCTCACAGCAACCTCAATCTCCTGGGCTCAAGCAATCCTCCTGCCTCAGCCTCCCAAGTAGGTGGGACTACAGGCATGCGCCACCATGCCGGGCTAATTTTTTTCTATATATTTTTAGTTGTCCAGATAATTTCTTTCTATTTTTAGTAGAGATGGGGTCTCACTCTTGCTCAGGCTGGTCTCGAACTGCTGACCTCAAGCAATCCTCTCTCCTCGGCTTCCCAGAGTGCTAGGGTTACAGGCATGAGCCACCACGCACTGACCAGTAGTCTGAATTGAAAAGTGTTCTGAGTATAAAATTCAGGCTGGATTTCAATAACTAAGTATAAAAAAATATAATACTTCTTGATAATGATTACATGTTAAAATATCTTCAATATACTGACTTACTTATGTTACTAAAATTAATTTCACATTTCCTTTTATTTTTAAAATGTGGCTATTATAAATATACTTGTGGCTCACATTTCTAGCTTGCATTGTATTTCTACTGGACAGCGCTAGTCTAGACACAATGTATACCACTATTCAACCTGACGCAACTTCTGAGAAACTCTATACATTTGGTTCACCAGGTATATCAGTCTTCTTGGAAGGCAAGCTACCACCGCCAACTCAGGCAAGGATGTAGGTTATTACTGTTCCAGTGTGTGTCCGTTCAAAGTATGAGGATTTTAAGCAGATGCCCAAAGGCAATCCAACCCTGGCACGGGAAGACACACACTCATACCCTTGCCGAAAGCTTAACAAGGAAAATGGCTTCAGATTTTTTAAGGAATTCAAATTTCCCAATACATCCTTTTCTGGATAATTTATCTTTCAAAAAGTTACTGTCTAATAATAATGTCCTTAAGATTTTATAGCATTTGCTATTTGGAAACATTAAATATATTTGTCTATGTATATTTTCTCTGTTTTTCATAAAAATTCTGACACAGAGAGAGACAGTTATTATTTGCATTGCTAAAATACAGCCTCCTAAGAGTTGTGTTCCAGGAGGGAGGCCTACAAAAGACTGCAGTTGATCTGTGTTTAAACTCCACTTCCAAATTTCCCAGCATTCTATCTTAATCAGAAAGACAGACACGCATGCATTAAAACATTTAGAAAAAGCCCAGAAGTTCTTAGGTTAAGTGTCTGACAATAACAAGGGCTTTTGTCATGCTTATTTACAAACACTTCCTGTGGAACACGATGTTCTTTACAAAGACACTCAACACTAGGAGTCTGGGCTAGTTTGTTCAAGTGAAAGGGAATAGGGACTAGCTCTGCCTAACTCTGTGGTACTTCCCTTCTCCCCTAAATGAATCTCTTAAAACACCCCTGGGCCTTGCAAGTGGTCTCTGAAATGCATACCATCTTCCTCCACAGACTACACTGATTCAGGAGTTAAATGCCTTTGTGAAATCTCCCAAAACACTTACGGTGGAACAACTTCTCCCTTCGTTCACCGGGAACCTCCAGATTCCCAAGTGTGGGCCCCTCGACCGAAAACAAACGTCACAGAACAAACCCTTTATTAAAAGGATTTGTTGTGCAAAATTTGGATTCAGTCAAAAGGCCGCACTCTGGGATCCAGAAGGCCATATGTGGCCCCAAGGTCGCAGGTTCCCCACCCCTGCGTGTGCCTTAACTATAGAGGCCGCCTCTTACTTTTTGTTCCTCCAAAGCACTGCAGGCGCTTGTTTGCCGAAGGATCGAAGTCCGAAATCCTTTCCAGCTCTAGAACCGAAGAATTGTCCCCATAAGTCATAACCATATCTACCTATGATTAGATGAGAGAATTTATGCCTCCGATCTAGCACGTAATAGGCGCTCCATTAAAGCAGTAATCATTTTACTAAGGTGAATTTACAGGAGCACTCGAACAGAATCTAACAAGAGATATTTATTCAGCTCTCACCGTGCACCAAGCACGATGCTTTCTTTCCCTTCATTACCAGCCTCAGCTTTGCCTCCAATACCTTTTCCAAAATTCTATCAAAACCGCGAGTATTGGCGAGGACCTTCACCACTTCCTGCACAGTCTTTATCATGCAGCTCATCACGACTTGCCGGCTTTGGGGCTCTGCGCAAGAATGAACTTTGGAGGAGTCCGGGAGCCCAGACACTCGCAAAAGAACAAGGGCGCAGAGGTCGAAGAGCCTGAAGAGCGCCCTGTCCCACGTCGCGCGCGCCCGCCGCCACCGTCCCCGGCAGCTCGCGCACTGTAGTTCCGCGCCCTCTGATGACTGAGCGCGCACGCGCGTTTCACACCACCCGCGGCGCGCGTTTCCCAGTGGGGCAGTTAGCGCCTGCGCAGAGCCGGCCGTCGGCCGCCTGTCCCGCGTCTAGGGGCGGTGAGGAGGCAGCGAGCGGATGGAGGAGGGGAACGGGCTCGGGGGCGGGACGGAGGCGGCGGCGGGCGAGGAGGACGAACCGGAGGTGAAGAAGCGGCGGCTTCTGTGTGTGGAGTTTGCCTCGGTCGCGAGCTGCGACGCCGCCGTGGCCCAGTGCTACCTCGCCGAAAACGACTGGGAGATGGAAGTACGCTTTTGCTGTCCCTCATTTCCGGCTCCTTTACCTAGGTGGGTGGGGCGCACTGGCCTCATCCCTGTACCTTTGCTTTCCAGAGAGCGCTGAACTCCTACTTCGAGCCGCCGGTGGATGAGAGCGCCTTGGAAAGCCGCCCCGAGACCACCTTGGAGCCTGAGACCTAGTAAGCGAGGCGGGGGTTGGGGGTGGGGCGCCTTAATTCTGGGTGGCGTCGGGCGGTCGACCGGAGGCGAAAGCGAAAGGCTTGTGTTGGTGCTGCTGAGTGGAGATGCGCCCCAGCAACGGGGATAACGTCTCTTTGAAGGTGGAGTCCAGGGAGGAAAAATCTGAAATATAATTTTTGGCTCGAATAATCGGAAATACGTAAGCGAGAGGTTTGAAACAAATGAATGAGGCACACTCCCCTGTTGAATGACGGCGACTTGGAAATCTCCTTGCTTCCTGTATTGTTTGTTTACTTTAGGCTGGCCAACCGGAATAATAGTTGTTTTTTTTTTTTTTTTTTTAAGTGCACTTCCGCCCCGGTTATTTAAATGTCCCTCCCCAATTCCTGCACTACTGCTCTTAAAGTCCATAATGTGTCATGGGATTAGTTTTAAAAGTAATAATAAGAAAAATAAAGTCCAGATGCCCTACAAGTCCATCTACAGTTTGACCACTGCCTATCTTTCCAGGTTGGTCTCCTGCCACCCTGCTCTTCCTAGCCCACCAAAAGTTCCAAGCATATCTAACTAACTTTATTTAGTGGGCCATTTTCTCTTGTTTTTCAACTTTTGTAACGATTTTTATTACCTCTACTTGAAACCTTTCCTTTGTCCTTTCTTGTAACTAATATTTATCTTAAAGGCCCTAATAAGTAGACTTTACTTATTTCCAGCAAGCTTTTCCTGATGTCCCAAGTCTGGGTAAGATTCTGCTTTTAGATACTTTCATACATCTTGCATTACCCCTGTTATAATAACTTAGTCCACAGTATAATTGCTGGTAAAGGCAGTATCTGTTTTATATATTGCTGATTTCCCAAAGTCTAACACAATATTTGGCACATAATAAGCTCTCAATAAATATGTACTGAATGTGTAAAGTGCCTTTAGCTATATGGGCAACCTGTACAGTTGACTGTTCATAGTGGAGACTCTTTTTCTTCCTTTAAATTCTTCAGCTGCACAGGTTTGCAGATATTATAAGATCATTTCATTAGGTTCCCTTCTCTACCTAGCCTCTTCTTGGGGAATTGTCCACCCACCCAGTGATTTGTCTGAGGCTCCCATGTTGTAATAGCCAGAGCCAGCTGGGCTAAGAGGTGCTCACCTAGCTGAAACTGACCAGTCAGATCCTCTCTCCTGGGTTTCAGGATTAAGACTAAGAGAGTCAAGTCTGAATCTTCCTGTGGAGCTAGAATTGTTAACATGTTAACCTAGCACCTGTGGGGATCCATACCCAGTTTTTGTGCACAGGGAAGCTGAAAACAGTGTTCTGCAGAGAGAGAATGAAGCAAAGGAAAGTTGATTTGTAGGATTGAGAGAAAGCCCCAGATTTCCTTTAAGCATGGCTGCATTCCTGCCCTTGGCTCTGTGACATGTTTGTTTCTATTTCCTTATAAATGCTCCTGTTTTGTTCACATCAACCTGAGTTAGTGTCTGTTAGTTGCAACAGACTAAATTATAATCAATAAATTGGAACAAAGTAAGTGGATTCCTTGAAACTGGTCTCAAAAAAAATGTGGCTCAAGTTGATTAATGGTGGCATGGGGTACTATTAGGAATCCCCTACTTTAGAATGGTAAATTGGCAAAAACAATCGAAGTGGTTGGTTAGCTGGTTGTCTCTTAGAACTCAGATCAAGTACCAACAAGAGTGAGGTTTTTAAAGTTTAGTTCACTGAGAGAAAAAAGGAGGAGGGACAAGGTGTTTCTAAGGCCTGTTTTCATGGAGCATGTCCCGATTAAGTTTTTTATGTTGGCATTAGCACTAGTGGAAGTAAAGGGAAAAAAGAAACTGATAGGAAGATTTTATGACCAGAAAAACTCAAGCATGCTGAGCAGGGGCTTTGGTTGTCTTAAAGCAGTTGGGTGGGATTCTCAGTTTTTCAGTAAATTCCCAGGATATTGGCAAACGCTGAATTTGAACACTAAAGTGAGTTAGCCCACTTCATTGGAATCTATCTTTAGTGTCTCTGAAGAAAGACAAGAGAAATCCTCTTAAAACAGTTGTGCTGGCTGGGCGGGGTGGCTCACACCTGTAATCCTAGCACTCTGGGAGGCTGAGGCAGGTGGATCACTCAGGAGTTCAAAACCAGCCAGAGCGAGACCCCGTCTCTACTAAAAATAGAAAGAAACTAATTGACCAACTAAAAATATACATACAAAAAATTAGCCAGGCATAGTGGCACATGCCTGTAGTCCCATCTACTCAGGAGGCAGAGGTAGTAGGATCGCTTGAGCCCAGGAGATTGAGGTTGCTGTGGGCTAGGCTGACGCCACAGCACTCACTCAAGCCTGAGCAACAAAGTGAGAGAGACTCTGTCTCTAAAAACAAAAAAACAGTTGTGCTGAACTTTAGCTGCATATTAGAATTACCTGGGGAATTTTTTTTTTTTTTTTTTTTTTTTTTGAGACAGAGTCTCGCTTTGTTGTCCAGGCTAGAGTGAGTGCCGTGGCGTCAGCCTAGCTCACAGCAACCTCAAACTCCTGGGCTCGAGCGATCCTTCTGCCTCAGCCTCCCGAGTAGCTGGGACTACAGGCATGAGCCACCATGCCCGGCTAATTTTTTTTTTTTTTTTTAATATATATCAGTTGGCCAATTAATTTCTTTCTATTTATAGTAGAGACGGGGTCTCGCTCTTGCTCAGGCTGGTTTTGAACTCCTGACCTTGAGCAATCCACCCGCCTCGGCCTCCCAAGAGCTAGGATTACAGGCGTGAGCCACCGCGCCCGGCTACCTGGGGAATTTTTAAAAAAAAAACTTTTCCTGGGTCTCCACTCCCCAGAGATTCTAATTTAATTAGTCTGGAGTGGGGCCCGTTTATCCCTCATAGGCTTTTTCTTTTTTTAAAAAGCTCCCCAGGTGATTGTAATGTGGAGCTGGCATTGAGAGCCTATGTCCCAGAGCTTGTTACTTAAGAGTGTGGACCCTGGACCAGCAGCATAACACTACTTGGGTGTTTGTTAGATGTGCAGAATCTTAGGCCCTATCCCAGATCTGCTGAATCAGAATCTACATTTTGGCAGGGTTCCCAGTTTGTTTAAAGTTGAGCACTGGCCTACAACGTAGGAGAACCTAAGGCTCCAGATACACTGACTAAAGCACTTACTCCTCTGCTTAGGACAGAAGTCAACAAATCATGCCCCTAAGATGAGGTAGGCCCTTTCAGTTCCTTAATAGTTCTGTACAGCACCATTTTGGAGTTTATTTCCCTTCCATTTTTCTGACTGGGAGTTTTTGTTACAGTTGTCCAGTTTTTCTTCCTGCATTAAATATTGTGGATGTTGCATAAATAGATAAGACATGAAATTGGGGGAGAAAAGGGCATAGAGCCTTTGGACTCTATGCAGACTCCATGGACTCTGGAACCAAATGCAGAAGTTCTAAGTCCATCTGTGCCACTTAGTAACTGTGTAACCTCTCTCTGCCTGTATTCTTTATCTGCACAGTGGGGATAGTACTAGTACCAACCTTATGGGGTTGTTTTTAAGGATTAAATGAGCTAAGAGATGTAAAACACTTGGAATAGTGCCTGACACATGGTAAGAGCTAAGTAAATGTTAGCTATGATTAGTGACACCATTATGCTCTCCCCACATCACCCTATAACAGTTGTCTTCTATTGAGGAGAGTAGGGAGGGGGTTTACAGTTTTGTGTGAGGTAGATTGAGTTATAGGTGGGCACTTTTAAACTTTGGAAAGGTGTGTGTGCTAGACAGGTAAGGGGCCTAATGTGGTAAACGCCTTTGTCTTTGATAATATATATGTGTTTCGCCCGGCGTGGTGGCTCACGCCTGTAATCCTAGCACTATGGGAGGCCGAGGCGGGTGGATCGCTCAAGGTCAGGAGTTCAAAACCAGCCTGACCAAGAGCGAGACCCCGTCTCTACTATAAAAATAGAAAGAAATTAATTGGCCAACTAATATATATATATAAAAAATTACCTGGGCATGGTGGTACATGCCTGTAGTCCCAGCTACTTGGGAGGCTGAGGCAGCAGGATTGCTTGAGCCCAGGAGTTTGAGGGTGCTGTGAGTTAGGCTAACGCCATGGCACTCTAGACTGGGCAACAAAGTGAGACTCTGTCTGAAAAAAAAATAATAATAATATATATGTGTTTAAAGTGCAATTTGTGAAAGAACAAATTTAACAGAATAAAGAGCTAATAATCCTTTCTGCTTTTAATGCTTTCAATAAAAAGGAAAGAAATAACATCTTTGATCAGGCTCTGTAATCATTTGGCTTTTTCTTTGTTTTTTTTTAAGACAGAGTCTCACTCTGTTGCTCGGGCTAGAGTGCCATGGCATCAGCCTAGCTCACAGCAACCTCAAACTCCTGGGCTTAAGCGATCCTTCTGCTTCAGCCTCCCGAGTAGCTGGGACCACAGGCATACACCACCATGCCTGGCTAATCTTTTCTGTATGTTTTTTTTAGTTGGCCAATTAATTTCTTTCTGTTTTTAGTAGAGATGGGTCT